AACAATATCATAATATTCAATGCATAAATCATATATATACATATCATTAGTTACGCATCTTCCGCATTCACAACACAACTCACCTCAATCATTCTATACATCACAATGTATTCATATAAGTATCTATATATAAATAGAACATCAAGCATATACAATATGCAATCACCAATGTTTATATCAATCCATATAAACCTACATATATACATATATTCACACACACACACACACACACACACACACACACACACACACACACACACACATATATATATATATATATATATATATATATATATATATATATATATATATATATATATATATATATATATATATATATATATATATATATATATATATATATATATATATATATATATATATATATATATATATATATATATATATATATATATATATATATATATATATATATATATATATATATATATATATATATATATATATATATATATATATATATATATATATATATATATATATATATATATATATATATATATATATATATATATATATATATATATATATATATATATATATATATATATATATATATATATATTTTCAAGCATACTCACTCATGCCATTATCACAATTCGCATTAATTCACATAAACATACACAATATGTTTATATCATCACCAATTCACATAAACATCCACATACATGTTTATTTCACCAATGCATCATATAAAGATGATAATGCAACTCATAGAGACCGACTCACGACTCTATGCAGATGCAAATGCGGTACTGACTCAATTCAGCAGGTTCAATTGAAAAACCAAAATGGAACCATCGCTCGTTACCGAAGTAACTCCCCGTCGGGCCTATGATGTTCACCCATCTCTCACACCCCACATGTGCACACGATGTTTCAGGATTTCTCACACCCCACATGGGCACACAATCTGATTGCTCACACCCCACATGGGCACACAATCGTTCTGCAGATTTTACGCGGAATCAAATATAACCATCGCATCATACGAGGTTCTGCAGATCCTACGCGGGATCAATCAACACAAGAATGCATATCAGGATGCTTCACATGCAAACATGACTCAATCAACTATAAACCATCGCTCACACGAGGTTCTGCAGATCCTACGCGGGATCAATTAACACAAAATGCATACATATTCGCAAATATATTATCATGCATTCTTCACATTCATCACAATTACCATGGATTTTTATTCAATTCAAGCAATGCATATAATTTGCCCAACGACCACACTCACAATTAATCCATAACATAGGATTCACGCCATACGGCTACCCACATCATAACATATCACAACAGTACACAAATCGTCCATTCAGATAAGGATTAACGTAACCGAAACAAACAATTAACATTGGAAAAGAAAACACAGGAACTGGAAAAATGCTGTCACATTCGCTGACCTTCGACTGGCGAATGCTCGCTACCTCCTTCGCCTGGCGAACTCGCTAGCGAAGGCAGTCAAAAGCTACTGGAAGTATTCGCTACCACTCGCTAGATTCATTCGCCTGGCGAACCCTCGCCACTAGCCTTCGCCCGACGAACTTGTCAGCGAAGGCTGAACTTGGCTACTGACTTGGTTCGCTGACCACTCGCTAGGCTTCGCCTGGCGAAGCTTCGCTGCCACTCGCCTGGCGAACCTGCGAACTCAGAAATCCCTAACTGTCCAAAAATTCTGAAACTCACCAAATCTAACCGATTCTATTCCAACTCGTCTCAGCAACACCACCCAACCTCCCTCGACTTAAACTTTACCACTTATTCTCATTTTCAACCATTAAAACTCAATTCTACCGATTAAATCAAATTCGACCTAAAAATGGAAGATGAGTAAAACTCTCTCCAATCTCAAAGTCAACCGACAGAAACATACATAATCATACACATTGAGAGAATAATAAAGTTTCACACCCTTACCCGATTAATCGAAAGCTTAGATGTTGGTTCTTGATGATTCTAGGTTTTGCTCTTCTTCCTCCTCTTTCTCTTCTCTTTCTCTTGTTCTTTCTCTCTAACTCTCTTTTCTTTCTATTTCCTCTTATATCTTTCCTCTCAATTCTATTTCTACCAAAAGGCCAAAATACCCTCCAGCCTAATTTTACCTGAAACTTCCGAAACGGTAAAATATAAAAGCATACCATAATAACACTTCAAATTCACAATTAAAATAATTATTACTCAATTCAAATAGAACACTCAATAAAATGAAATAATCGAAATCGGGGTGTTACAAAAGGAGCCTGCATTAGCAAACCACCTTCGATGCCACTTCCACTGAAGATTTCATTCATTAACGATATGTTGGTTTTTATGCACAAATATATCGATGGTATCGTCAATGTTGAAAGGATGGTAATGGCGGTTACCAAGCCGTTTCGGCTTTACTTGCTAAAGGAGAAGATAGTCATGCGCTTTCCGGTATCAACTTATCCAAAAGTTGAAGACGCATAAAGAATCGTACATGCGGTTGTACGAAAATAAAGAAAAAATTGATATGGTTTATGAGTCTCTTGTTCCTTGATTGAGCGGTCTAGCACCGGAGTCAAATGGACGAGCTTCCCGGATATGGGTCACCTAATTGCATGTGCATATGATAGGGTGTGCATTGACCTTACACACTACGATGTTTCAGAAACTTTTTTCTCACTACGCACTGCACCACACCAAATCCAAATGATTGTATCATGTGTATTGGATGACTTTCAAAATCAAATCATTTTGTTCAAGTTTACTTGAAACCGGGTTGCCTCGTACCACCTGCATCACCGGAGTGGAAGACTCATTCAACCGCAAAACCTGAGACATGGTCGGATCATTTCATCAAAAGGATATAAAAAGTCGAGAGATTGAATAACATTGAAAAAGAATCGAATGCATAAAAGTCCAAGGGGGTACCACCTAGAGATTTAGCCGGCGACACTTGTTTCGATTCGTTTTGATTTCTTGTGTAACCGGATAAATAATTGTATATAATTATGTCTTAATATAAATGAAGTGTTTCATATTCACTTTTTATTCATATTTGGTCTTTATGCATATTTGGTTCATACTTCATGTTAATGTAAATGTCAGTTATATGGTTCTATTTTGGAAATGTTTCAGGGAAAGTTTCGGAGATGCATCTTCAGAAGGTTATTTTATTTGCTTTCTTTTGAAATGTTTCAGGGAAAGTTCTGGAGATGCATCTCCTGAAGGTTATTTTATTTGCTTTCTTTTGAAATGTTTCAAGGAAAGTTCCAGAGTTGCATCTCCGGAACTAGATAATAGGGTGCGTTTTCGGAGATATATATCTGGAATCATTATGATAGTCAATGAGTGGTCCATATTAAATTAGGTCTTCTATAAATTTGGATGTTCTTGTGTTACACAAACTCAAAATATCTCAAATTTCACAAATAAATATCCATTGGTATGTCACATGTGTTTCCTACTCCGGCGGCTCTACACGCAGGAGGACGTTTAATTTCACCGATCTCACCTTCCTCGAAGATATCTTAGACAAAATCCACTATCTCCTAATTTACGGAGACAAATGAAGGATTGTCAAGCACGAGTATCGTTCACCTTTGGTTGATAATGAAGGGAACATTGTGCTCAGGAAATTTGAGTTCAAGACTCGAGCCGATGTTAGGATTATGTGGGATACATATTTCGAATTTGAAGAGAAAGTTCCGCTCGAGTTGGAAGCGACGCTACGAAGATCGGTCGAAGATATCATGAAGATATGCAAGCGTCCACCGGGGTATTGAAATGTAGTCTTTAATTTTGTGTTGAAATCATCATTGCAATACTCATTTTATGTTATGAATGTCAATTGCATTTTGGAAAGTCCATTTTATGTTAAATCCATTTCTTGTGTTTTTTCGGATATGTAACTACGAAATTATTCCGGAGATGTATCTCCGAAACATATCAAACCCAATATATAAGGCGCCACTCAAAATAATCTTGCTTGAGTGTACAAAGGGTGCGTCCGGAGATATATCTCTGAAAATATGAGACATATTTAAAAAATCACAGAATGCGCAAGAAATACATGGGGTGGAAAAAAAAATTCTTGTTTGAAGCATGTAATTCCAAGAGTGAAATAAGAAAATTTTGAGCATTTTATATGGAATGGCGAGTTTGAACCCTCTTGATTTAATTTTTTAAAAAAATGATTTTAGTCAAATATTTATTAAATTCAACTTTTATAAATTAAAAGATTAATTTGGACATTACATGACATAAATATACAGAATTAAAGACTAAAATATAATCAAAATTATAATTTAAAAAAAAATTATCTCAAAAATAATTTTTATAAAAAATTATTTGAAATAGTAAATAAAATTTTGAAATTAATTATAGCAAAAGAATGAAATATCTAAAATAATTTTAAAAATAAATATTTCAAAAATAATTTTTATATAAAAACTATTTGAAATAGTGTGAGTTTTTGAAATTTTGATATCTAAAAAATTATAGCAAAAGATAAAATATCTAAAATAATTTCTTAATGATAATTATCTAAATCAATTTTTCATTTGATGTTTTTTTCTTAAATTCTTTGTAAAAAAAATTTCCAACAAAAATATATAATATTTTGAAAATTGTTTTTTAAAAAATTGAAAGATAAGAAGTTGGGATAGAGCTTTTAAGTAAGAGGTACTCCCATCATTTTCATATTTTTCATTTCACTAAGACATGAAATTTAACACATTTAGGTGCTCAATACTTCTCTTAGCACATGTTGCTTATATATAGAAAAGAATATGCAGATCAATATAAAGATTTTGAGTGAGACAAGAAAATGAAGCAATATCTTATGAAAATAGGAGGAAATAATTTATACACCACAAGAAATGAAAAGGAACTTCTCATCAAGGTGAAGCAAGTGCATCATGGTAGGTTACATGGCCATGGCCTTCTCATTTCTTTGGCACGCCATTGTTGAACATCTAAGAGCTTTTTCGGTGTTTCTATCGACCTTACGATCGTCTTCCTTGCGCCAAACTTACGCGCAATGTCCGTCCTTCAAGATCCTGATCAAGTGCATAAATTACACAGAAACAATAAGCAAAACCATAACTCCTTTTGTTTTAAATCATGATCGCCATCGCAATCGCAAATGATAGTTTTGATATAACATTGTGCATATAAGAATGAATAGATGAGAAGTAACATAGCAACATACCACTTCATTCATGGCTGTAAGAGCAGCTTCCATTTCTGATTTATTGGCATAGCAAACAAAGCCATAGCCACGAGACTTTCCGGTTTCGCCATCATATAACACCCTAGCTCCAACCACGGTTCCATGTTGTTGAAAGGCTTCTGCCAGACTCTCAGAAGTTACTGTCCAAGACAAGTTCCCAACGAAAAGCTTGTAGTCAGTTTCAGGGTACAACGGTTCTTTTGCCTTCGGTTTGTCTGAGAAATTCACCCGCAAGGTTCGCCCCATGAACTCCTGAGAAGTGGTTCATTTACAAATTTTAGCATACAAAAAAAGTTAAGCATTACAAAGAAGAGAGATAACGGTTCTTACTTTTTCATCAAGATTTTTAATCACTGCATTACAGTCTTCAACGCAACTCATGGTCACAAATGCAAAGCCTCTACTTTTTCCAGTGTCCCTGTCGTAAAGAACCTAAAGACATATATAAATCACTAACTTTACTGTAAACCGAAGAATGAAACATAAACATTATGTCTTAGTTAATATATATAAAATTTCAAAGAGTTAGATACTGAAGTACCTCAATTAGTTCTGCGCTACCATAATCCTCAATTAAGCCTGCAAGTTGTGCACTATCAACACTATAAGGCAAATTCCCAAAATAAAGCTTAGTCCTAGTGTCTACTACTGCATCAGTTTCCCCTCCATTCTCCTTCTCTACTTCTTGTTCTTGCTCTTGTTCTTTTTGTTCCTCCTCTACCACAGCCTTCTCTTCATCATCAACGGCCACAGCAGCCTCTTCCTGAGCAACAGCAACAGAAATTCTAGGCATCCATAACTTGTGTGATGAGATTGTTGTACCAATGCACAAAGGTTCAACTGAGTATTGTGATGTAACAGACGCAAAGATGCGGTTTGAGGATGCTTCTATTGACAAGGTTTTGGAACGAGGAGATTTGACAGTGTTGATGGAAGACGAAAACAAGGAGGCTATGCCTGCAGCAGCAGTAGCCATGTTGTGGTGGTGTAAAACTCGAACTGCTTGAAGTTAGAGAGTTTAAGAAAGTATGATGGGTGAGAGAGAAAGATAGGGAGATTTTGTGTGGTGATTATTGATGAAGTGGCAATATTGTGTCCACTGTCATGTGATATAGTAGGAACAGATATTGTTAAGATAAGATGAGTTCATATTTCAATGTGTTAATACATGTGTAACGTTACATATAATATCACTAGTGTGCATAACATTTTTGTGCATCTTAATTAGTATGTGTTCATTTATGCACCAATAATAATAATAATAATAATAATAATAATAATAATAATAATAATAATAATAATAATAATAATAATAAATTGGTTGAAATAAAAGATTAGGATGTATATTACCTTATGAAAATTTCAAAATTACATTTGTACCGTCTGGAATTTAAAATTTAAATGCATCTATTTTACAACAAAATTTAAGGCATGGTCATTCGTGTCAAAAATATGTTTGAAATTTAATCTCCAAACATATTTTGAATTACAATTTTTAGAATTTCAAGTGGAAAAATAGATTTGGTTGTTGTCTTTCATGTGTACCACTTTTCATATTCTTCACATCATAATACCATTTTTTATAAAATCCTACAAAAAATTTCTTTCATTCTAATTTAAGATTTTTACTTTAAAATAACATTTTTTTTGTATTTTACATTAAGTCGAATTTCATTATATGTATTACATTGATCATTGTTTTAGAACATCTATTTTATTTTGTAGAAATATGTATGTTGCACCCGAATTTTAAATTTTGAAACATGTCACACAATGTCTAAAAATTGAAATATGAATTGTTCTTATATTAAATTTGAATTGTCTTTTAATATGATTGGTTATAGTTAAGCTGCACTCTAATTATGTTTTTGATATTGTCTTTTGGTTATAGTTAAGGTGCACTCTGACGATGTCTTTGATGTTCTAATGATGTCTTTGATGTTGTCTTTAAGACTATTGTATTTATGGAATGATGTCTTTGATGTTGTCTTTAAGACTATTGTATTTATGGATGTTAAATCCGGTGATGTCTATTTTGTAGATGTTTGAAATATAATTTACAAATAAACATGAGTTTGTTATATGTGAACATATGCTTTAATGGATTCCCGCGGAGGTTTCCAAAATTATGATTTGACATTGTAATCGGGAAATCGAATTTTGTTTAATGGATTCGCGCGGAGGTTTTCAAATTATGATTTGACATTGTAATTAGGAGATCGAATTTTGTTTATGATAGAAGACAAACATTTGTGACGATGAGATGCAAAAGAAATAGCATGTGTAGAGAACTTATTCAGATATTAAAATGCGATGGCACCAGATAGAAAAAATACGAGTGTTATTTTGAGTCGTGCATGTACCTCAAGGTGAATAATACATGAACATTTAATGTCATTTGTAGTATACATAACCATGTTTTGTGTCACAAGTTAACCGGTCATTCGATTGTATGTCATCTAAGATTATATGTCATACATAAAGTTGTGAATTGTAGAAACTTGTCTATGTCATACATAAAGTTGTGATAGTAGAAACTTGTCTCTGACATTACATTGAACATAGTTCAGCCCAAAAACATACTATCCTCTTTGAAAAGGGAAAATCTGAAAGGGGATTTGTGTATATGTTGGAAATCAATGAACAAAATGATTCAAAGTCAACATAAACATGCCTCATACTTATCTAAAACTTGTATGGTCCATATTGATCTAAAAATTATATAAACATGTCTCAAATGTTGCTAACATTTGATAACATGAACACCTCACAATGTCTCAATTTCGATATCTTGCATTTGTTTACTTCATGTTTACTTCAACATGAGTCTTCATTTTTAATTTACGGTCACAAAGGACTAGAAGGATTATGAGGCTGTTAAATGCAAGAAAGATGAATGTTAACAGCCAACAATGTGATAATGTATTAATTTGACAATTAAAACATTAATGTGTGAGAATACCATTAAGAAAATTGTACACCATTCACTTAAATTAGGAGCATACTACTTGACAATCAAAGTAACCACATCTCCAAATGAGAGCATACTCACCAATATAATCCTCTCATAACAGGGCACTGTCATAAATCTGTTGAATTCTTAAATTTAGAAAATCATTTGACAAGGACAGTGAAAAGCAGACTTTACATGCAACATTCAAATGTATGAGCAAATAGTTCATTTAAGTGAACTAAGTGAATATGATAAAATAATGTAATTGACCACCAAATCAATTCAGCAACCTCAGAAAATGACAGCAACTTTAGTTTAATAACAATGTTGTTTTGTTAGATAGCAACTAATTCCAACAAAAAAAAATGTTAGCAACTTATTGCAATTTCATGGTGATACTTAACTAAATAGGTACAACAGATGTAGACAACAACAAAAAAGAAAACAGGTAGATAAGGATGGAAGGAACTAGAGTACCAAAATCATGCCCAACAAACTACATTGGATGCAATTAGAATCCATTAGTAAAGGTCCTAGGACCATAGGATTTAAATTTTAAACCAAACCTTAATACGGTGAGAAAAAAGAACTCCTCAATGAGCAAGCATAAATAAATAACAATAACTGCATACATCATAAACACAGAAAGGATGAAATTAACTGTATTTGCCCTGACTGGAAATGTTGCTAAGTTGCTGAATGACCCAGCCTCGATGATAACAGAAGCACGTTTATGTATCAAATTCTAAAACAAGAGAAGCAATTGGACATTGAAGCAATGTGTGGATCCAATTAAGGTATTTCAAGCCTTTAATATAATGTCCTTTGACTAACAAATCAGCATTGCAAATCTTTCATTAAGCAACTTTAGTCTTTTCGATTAACAATAGTAAAACTACAACAGGCAAGTAAACCCAGAAAGCAGAAACCATTCAATTCAACCAAGCACTATCAAAAAATCAGACACCAAATCCAGAAACACATTCCAAATCCCTTCGTGTCGAACAGATATCTAATTAAAATGTTTTAGAACTTTTCATTAAGTCCTTTGGTTTCATATGTAGAAGGGCTCATAAGTCCAAATCCCTTTGTATCCAAAAGAATCATTCCGGCAACAGAAAAACCATTCATCCAACCAAGTAATATCAAAAACAACAATTAAATAGTACAAATTTTTAAGTATCCAATAGAATCATCAAGAATTCACATTTCCAACACAAACACATTACAGCAGCTGGCATTAGGGTTTAAGATAAAGATCACAGTAGCAACTATAGTCGCATCACAATTCTCAATATTACAGAGAATCACAAGCAAATACAACTTCAATCATCTCACGGCTGAAATTTCAGCAACATAATAAAACCTATATGCGAATCTTTATTCAAAACCCTAACATACACAATAAAATCCCTAATCTTCACCATACTTTGAAACAAAAACTCAAAAAATCACAAAACTAACATCAACAAACAATATCATATCATCAAACACGCAATTTAGCGTCAAGTAGAATTATAAATCCATAGTAACAAGAACACCAAATCCAAAATTCCAAAAAAAAAAAAAAATATACTAAACCCTAAAAATGGCGAGGGTTTTAGTTACTAAGGGGAAGGGGATGAGAAGTGGGAGTTCCAAGGATGTTAGCCTGTTGAGATTCCAGCTCATTGATCTGCTGCTCCCGGTCCATGGCAACGATGAGAGGAACAACGAGGATGAGGAAACTGGTTCCAGCGATCCATGCTGCTTTTCCGGTGCTGCGGAGAAGCTTCTTTGCGACGAAGACGGCGTCGGAGGCAGCTTCCTTCGTGCGGCGAATTACGGGCGATTCGTTAACCCTAGACGACGCTGCTAACCGTTTCACCATTTCAGAAAGTAGTGTTGATTTGAGAGTATAACGAGACGAAGTCTGAGGAGGAACAAGCGGCAAAGAAATGAAATAGAGGCAAACACGCTGGTTGCCCTCCTCATGAGTAAATATTGGAATAAATTATTTTTATTGCAATTTGGTCCCTCTTTTTTTAAATATGCCATTTTAGTTCTTTTTATTTTATTTTATTTTATTTTAGTAATTTTGACCCTTAGTTTTTTCTTTAATATTATGAATTTCATAATCCTCCATTTTCTTTGTGAAAATTTTATGTTGAGTTGACAATTTTTTAGGAGAGCTATCACGTCGGAATTTCTCTTCGGTATGTATTTTTCGATTTCTCACTTAATTTATTAATGTATGACGCATTCACTTTTTTGTCATTTCAATTGTGTGCTTCGACACGAATCGATACAAATTAAAATTGAAACTTCGTGATTGAATCGAAATCAAAACTTCGTAATTGAAATCGTGATGCGTCGTGTTTGAGGTGCTCGCTTCTGTCGCGGAAATTGCTTATGCAAATAAGTGTTTTTGGCTTATCACTGTTGCTTTCACTTTCATTCCACACCAAAACTAGGAGATAGAACTTGAATATTTACCGTAACCTCTGTTCCTCGAAAAGTAGAACGCCACGCATCGCGTTTGCAAGAAGTTGTTGAGTTCTGAGTGAGGATTGAATCCGCGTTTGCAGGTTGAAATGGGTGAAAACTACATTTTCTAGGGATTTTGAAAAGTGATTTTGAATAAGTTTTGGCCGTGTAGTTATTATGGGATTTGTTGCCCAGATATACTTCATTGGCATGCAGTTAGGCCTCCCCATCTATGGCTCATGGCCCAGGTTTCTCTCTTACACACGCGTTCATACCTTCATCTCCTTCTTTGCTTGTTTTGGCTTTGGGTCTGGGTTGGCTAGCTCATTCTGGTGGTTATTTGCACCACTACACACAAAATGTACCCGCTGACCTCTTTAGAATTTCATGATTTTACTTCTTAGAATTGTTTGCAATTAATTTGGTAGAATTTCATGATTTTACTTCTTAGAAATTTTTGCACTTAATTTAGTAGAATTTCATGATTTTACTTCTTAGAATTTTTACACTTAATTTGATAGAATTTTATGGATTTGCTTCATTTACTTTGTGCTTTAATTTGTTAGAATTTCATGCATGAAATTGATGGAATGGTAGTACATAGAATTTTGGTCCATTAATTTAGAAATTAACACATATAATCATGTTCATTTTAGATTAGATTTTTAGATTTGATCTACTTTTGCATATGAGTTTTTCTTCATGAATCTGATCCCCTTAGGTCTTAGACTTAGAAATCTAGATGCTTGATTCACACTCTTGAATTTCCTTATTAACTCATTGATCAAAGTTGCCTTTGATCAAATAGTTCATTCATTTGCCTGATTTCCCCCATCCAATCAAATCTTGATCACTTGATAGGATTATCACTTTAGGCTGGCACTACATTGGACTTCAACTCAAGCTATGGACTTCACGTTCAAGTCAGACAAGCTCAAAACAACATATGAGGTTGGAGCACTGTACAAAGCACAATGACAAAGAGGCTCCTCCGGACTTGTCAATTACGATTCAAAATTGTGCGTCACGAGTCTTAAATGGTAGAGAAGGAATGGGAATGGAAAATTCCTACCCCCATTCTGAATATCTTTGGATATGGTACGAATGACCCAGTCCCCTGAGTATTAACCTCTACTCATAGACTTTAGTGTAATCTGAATCGACAATTGATAAAGTCTCCTTCCTGAACAGCGCTGCAATAATAAACGACAACAAGACTCATCTCAATACTCAAGACAAGATTGGAGCATTATTCAACACTTGTCAGATACAATTCACATTGTGCGCCACGAGGCTTAAGTAGTGGAGAAGGAATGGGAATGGAGAATTCCTACCCTCATACTGAATATGTTTGGATATGGGACGAATGACCCAGTGCCCAGAGTATTCATCTTCACTCATAGACTTTAGTGCAATTTAAATCTAGTCATTGAGAAGGTCTTCTTCTCTCATTCTATATTCAACACTACAATCGACAAGAACAATGCTCACTTTTTTCCTTTGTTTAAACACCATTTCCTTGGCCTCACCGATTTAAACACCCCTTCTTTGGTTTAAACACCACTCTTTTTGGTTTAAACACCACTTCTTTGGTTTAAACACTACTTCTATTTTCTTTTTCAGTTTAAACATCGCTTCTTTCCTGGTTTAAACACTGCTTCTTTGGTTTAAACACCACTTTCTTCTCATCTTTGGTGTAAACACCACTTTTATTTTCCTGTTTGGTTTAAACACCACTTTCTTCTCTTCTTCGGTTTAAACACCGCTTTTTTGGTTTAAACACCACTTCCCTCTCCTCTTTGGTTTAAACACCACTTCTATATTCCTGTTTGGTTTAAACACCATTTTCTTTTCCTATTCGATTTAAACACCATTTTTATTACTTGCTTGGTTTAAACACTACTGTGTTGATTTAAACACCATTTTCTTGGTTTAAACACCACTTACATTTCTTCTTTGGTTTAAACACCACTTTTATCAAACTCCCTTAGTTTAAACACCATTTTCTTTCCCTCTTTGGTTTAAACGCCACTCTCTTTATTACTTATTTGGTTTAAACACCACTTTATTTTCTCATTTGGTTTAAACACCACTTTTCTTCTTGCTTGGTTTAAACATCACTCATATCATTTATATTACCTTTATTGGTTTAAACACCATTTTCCCTCTTGATTTAAACACCATTGTTATCCCCCTTTGGTTTAAACACCACTCTTGTTTCTCTTAGGTTTAAACACCATTTTTATCTCATGTTCGGTTTAAACACCACTTATATCACTTTTACCTCGTGTTTGATTTAAACACCGTTCATATCACTTCTATTATCCTTTTGATCTAAACACTTATATACATTCTTTGGTTCAAACACCACTTTCATCACTTTTTTTTCCTTTGTGGTTTAAACACCAAAATCTTTTGTTCTATCCTTGGTTCCATGAACTACGGAGTTCTGACTTCCTCATTGCACTATGAGGATACGTAGACACAGGATTGTGAGATTCTAGCGAGCAACCTTTCTTCGTTTTCACCTTTTTTTCAACCTTCCTTCGTTTTCAACCTTCTTTCACAACCTTTTTATTTTACAACCTTCCCCCTTTTTCATCCTTAGTTCTCCGAACTACGGAGATTTGATTTTCTCATTGCAATATGAGGATACGTAGGCATGAGGACCTCAATCCTCCACGAGCACACTAATTATAAACCTTTTTCCCCTTTCGAAAGTAATCTTTAGATAATAACATCCATCCGAGCAAAGAACTAGCAAAATGGTTCCCGTCGAGTACGACGGATGCGAGGGATGCTAATACCTTCCCCTCACATAACCAACTCCCTTACCCGTTTCTCTTTCCCATGGGTTTTATCGATATTTTCCTTTTCCTTTTGGAATAAATAAAATTCGATGGTGACTCTGTTGTATCATCGAGCGTGCGATGCGCTCGGGTATTTTTTGCACCACGACAAAATGGCCCGGTTGACTTATGTAACGCCCCGATTCTGAATTCCCATTAATTGTTGAGTCTTTTAATTTATTTAATTGATGTTTGTTTTAAATTGAGAAATTATATATTACTATGTGGTGTTTGCTTATTTTATCTATTTTTACTGATTCGGAGAGTTTTCGGGAGAATTAGAGTAAAAAGGGCATTTTAGACATTTAGCAATTTAGTGTGAGAATTGATTGGTAAGTGTTGGAAAGAATTTGAGAGGAAAGAAATAGAGATAGAAATAGGATAAGAGAGGAAAAGAAAGAAAAATAGTAAGATAAGAAGAAAAACAAGAGAGAGAAAAGAGGAGAAGAGAAAGAGAAGAGAAAGTGGAGAGGAAAACCTAGAATCATCAAGGGATCATCACCAAAGCTTGCAATCGATCGGTAAGGGTGTGAAACTCCATCATCTCTTTAATGTATATGATTGTATGTGTATGTGTTTGGATTTTGTAGAGTTTCTACTCTTTTTCCACTTAGGTTAGAAGTTGGTTTTGTGAGTAGAAAGAGGTTTTAATCGGTTAGAACTCGGATTAGACGATGTAGTTTAGTCGGGTGATGGTAGGGTTGTGCCACTGAGACTGGTTTGGATTTAATCGGTTGGTTGTGTGGAGTTTGGGCTTTTGAGCAGCCATGGAGGTTCTGTCTTCGCAGGCTCGCCAGGCGAATGGCAGCGAAGCTTCGCCAGGCAAAGCCCAGCGAGCTGCAGCGAAGCAAGTCAGAAGCAACACCCTGTCTTCGCTGGCAAGTTCGCCAGGCGAAGTGAGTTGGCGAAGGTTCGCCAGGCGAGTGTGTAGCGAGCCTCAGCGAGTAATTCCAGAATTACTCCCAGTGGGCTTCGCTGGGAAGTTCGCCAGGCGAAGGCCAGCGAGCATTCGCTGCGTGGCTTCTCCAGGCGAAGGTTGGCGAACCTGACAGTGTTATTTGTTTTGCTGTTTGTTCATAGCATGATTTTTAGCCGATTCAATTATGATTAATGCCTATATGAATGATTGATGTGTGAACTGTTTCGACATGTCGTGCTGTGGGTGGCCGAAAGGCGTGAATCCTAGATTGTAGAGCCAATGGTGAATCTTGAACGTTTGATAATCTTGTGTATTTGCTTGAATTGAATAGAAACGCATTGATAGGCTGATATGTGTGTAAACCATGTGTGAAATGGTGCATAATGTGAATGCATGATAGATATATGCGATGTATGTGATAAATGCAATGAGTATGTTTGTGAACATAGTATGCATTCTGTGTTGATCGATCCCTCGGAGGATTAGCATTGGGTAGCATCTTAGTATGCATTTTTGTGTTGAATGATCCCTCGGAGGATTTGCAGAACCTCGTATGATACGATGGTTACATTAGATTCCTTGGAGAATCGGTTGCATTGTGTGATTCCTCGGAGAATCGGTCATAACATGTAATCC